AAAATCCTTTGGGGGAAGGTTGAATAACACTAAGATGATAGGGCTATAAATGCAACCTCTAATCCGCCCTCTCCACTTTGGCTCAAAGCCCATCCTTCTCATGGTCTCATCAAGTATTGCACAATCGACATGTTCATACGCCTTTTCCCAATCTAGTTTTATCACTAGTCCCAGGGTTTTAGAGATGGATAAGAGTGAATGCATTCGTGTGTAATTACAGCCCTATCCAGGATTTGTCTACCCTTAACAAAGGCCCCTTGGGTGGGGGAGATGACTTAGTTTAGTATAACCCTCAATCTCGAAGCTAGGACTTTGGACACAGTTTGCATGAGCCATGGACCAAGCTTATAGGTCTAAAATCTGTAAGCTCTTCCGCCCGTTCAATCTTAGGGACTAGGGCGATGAAGGTAACATTCATAGCCTTGTTGATGACACCTCTAAACTGAAATTCAGATAATAACTCCAACATGTCTGGCCAGATAGTATCACATAATGTTTTAAAGAAGGCAATAGTGTAGCCGTCGAGGCCAGGAGTTCGGTCGAGACTCAGGTCATTGAGTGCTAACAGGATTTCAGTCTTCGAAAAAGGACATTCCAGCCATGCCACTTTTTCACGGGGAAGGGAAAGGAAGGCAATGTCGTGCATTATGGGTCTCGGTCCAGGGCACGAGATAAATAGATTGGAAAAGAAGCGCACTACTGCCTGCTTCATAAGATGGGTGATGGCATTCTCGCGTCTTCAAGAATTGGCTATCTTGTGAAAATAGCCAGCATTTAAATCACCTAATTTAAGCCATTTTACTCGAGCTCTCTGTGCCCAATATACCTCCTCTTTTTGGATGGTGGCTGGGAAGTCTAATTTGGCTTTTGCAACCTGCTCGTGCTCAGCTGGAACTAAAGGTCTGGATTCATCCTCTATGTCCCACGATGGAATAGTTTGGAACAAAGGTCCCTTCATGGCTCGGAAGTTCCACGAGTGTTGGGCCTTCCAAGTTTTCAAATTGGATTTTAGCAATTGCAACTTTCGTTGCACCTTGAACCCCGACCAGCCTTGAACATTGAAAGAGCTCCTTGATGCTGCCACAAAATGTAAGAAGTTGGGTTCCTTGATCGACCAGGATTCGAATCTAAACGATCTCGGGCCACTCTGGATAGCTTGGGTATCAAGCAAAATGGGGTGATGCTCAGAGGTAGTTTTGGGTAAAATAGTCAAGTGGGTACTCGAGAAGGGTTGGTCCTACTCAAGTGCGGTAATGAACCAATCTAGCTTTGAGAGAGAGGAGTTGAGGGAGTGGTTTGACCAAGTAAACTGGGCTTTTTCTAGGGGTATATCAATGAGATGAGTGAGAGAGATGAAATCTAAAAACTACACCATGTCAGGGGAGATAGAGTGACTGGAGTTACAATTATGGGACTATCGCATGACATTGAAATCCCTCCCAAACACCAAGGACCCAAGGATGAAGATGAGATGACTTGCAATTCTGCTCAAAACGAGGGCTTAAGATTCTCAGCATTAGGGCCATAAAATGTTGTGCACTTCTAGTTAAATCTGCCTGATAGCCTAGACAGTCAAACTATGATTGAAAAAATTCCAACCGAACTATCGAGAAGGTCATGAAGGGTCGGTTCCCAAAGGATCCAGATGTCACCCAAGGCCCCTATTGGGTCTAGGGCAATCCACCTACAAGGCCTGAATCCCCAGATGCTTTTGATATCAGGGACGGTGGGAGAGAGATGCTTGGTTTCACTAACAGCCAGGAGTGAGGGGGAGTTTTGAGCGGAAAGATCTTGGATCGTGTTCTTTTTGTAGGGGTAGCCAAGGCCACATATGTTTCACATCAGGACCTTCATTGGGAAAGAGGTGCAGAGAGGGACCTTTTTAACTAACAGAGGGAGTGAGACCTGATAAACGAGGTTGGATGGGTCGAAAAGGGAGGGGGAGGGGGAGGGGGAGGGGGTGGAAAAGGAGGACCATTACACCACATGCCCGAACCAATCATGCCAAAGATCGGTCACCTCACTTCAGTGGATAAGCCATTTCGGTTGACATCACTCACAACCTTTCATAATCGGCCGATCAGAAGACTTGAAGCCTTAAATTCTTTAACATCATCTAGGTTAAACATAACAAAGTTGTTTGGTATTGTCAATTGTGATACTTAAAACAAATTCTTCTTCATCCTTAGAAAGTGCTACATATCATGTAGTTGGGTCTCATCTGCATGGAACTGAGGGACACATATTGCTTTAATAATATGAGTTATTGATAACCTTGCATACTATTCTTAGTTAACTTCAGGACTTAGCCTCATCGCTTGTCATGTGGTTTGAACATCTTGAATGGACAATCCAATCTCAATTGTAATCAATCCAGAGTTGGAGACTGCAGTGATGGGTAGTGCCTTTAGAGTTGGTCGTGATAACCTTGATTGCTATCTTGTGGTTCAACAAGGTGATCGAATTCTGTAGTATCATATGATCATCGGTCATCAAGTAAAAGGTCAACTATATTTTCCTTCGAACGCCTTTGTTTGGTTGATTCTTTGGCCGATGTTATGCCACTTATAGAACATTCAAGATCGGTTGACCAGCTCTAAACTAGTCAATTTGGTTTCCTCAATTATAACTAGGATGCCTAATCATTCCATTCTTCCTTGCTTTCGTCTAGTGACTTGTTGTAGTCACCAAATTTTGCTTTAGTGGTCTTCTTCCTCCTTGATCTATAGTCACGAGAAAAGAGGCTCTTAACCCTTCATCAAGAACTCCTAAGCTGCCAATGAGCATTGACGTTGCTTGGCTCCCCCTTGTTGGCAGCCCTCCTTCCACTGACTGGGCATTGTTGTTTTTGTTTCTCTTGGCCTCATGACCAATTCCCGTTCCAAGTGACAATCCTTCTTTCACGTTATTCACTAATACATTGTCCATCTATCAAGCCAAAGTCTCCAACTTTGCCCACATGCTCTGTAATTCCAAGCGGGACTGTGAGTTGGTCAACCCTTGATGAACATTAGGAACCCATTGTACTTGGTTTTCACTCTTATAATGATGATGTTTCTCATACTTGGCTCATGATCCTTGATCCTAGATCAAGTTGAGAGATCTCATGGCAATGTTTCCACAATCAAGAATACTGCCGATCATTGTTGATTCATGGATGACTGATTTGAATTCATTCTCCAGAAACGAGTTTTGCATCATTGGTTATGGTAGACAGTGGCGTTAGAACATCTCAAGCCGATTTTGGGGTGTTGGCCTCCTGTATATGTTCCAACCGTTCCTTTTGTATTATTGTTTTCTGCAAGAACATTCCCAACCTTAATGCACCACCCACAGTGCCTCTATGCTCTCTCTTAGGGATGAGACAAGTTGTGCCTACCAATGCCCTCCTAGGGCTTATGGAATTTTAACAACGACTCTATGGATGAATCCCAAAGGTCAGGGTTATGTGATTATTTAGTTTCTCAAGCCCTCAAAACTGTCTTTGCTTGATCTACATCGTGGTTGGTGTCGTCGTTTGTCAGTCTCCACCACCAAAAAGCTCGGTCCCTGGCTGATTAGCTATATAGTGTTGCACTTCTCATGACGAATGGTCGTTGGTTGAAGCCAATCCAATCCCAATTTTTGGGTTTCTTACAACCATATGCCAAAAGAAAACTCTTCGTTCATCTGTAACATTACATTGCATTATATTACATCACATTTCATTGAGAAAAATAATAATGGGCTGTCTATATGCTTATGATCTGTTTTCACGTTTGGATAAGAATATGCGGTGTAGCCCTTCTTTGTTCTATAGGGATCCATCTGACTCTTTATGCTTCTTTTTTATCACCTAAAAAACTAAGCCAGTTTTTGAAATTGACATTGGAATAGGGGACATTGGAAAAGGGGGCATTGAAAAAGGGGGAGGGGGAAAGGAGAGAGAGAGAGAGAGAGAGAGAGAGAGAGAGAGATGGCTGTCGGCTTTAAAATCTCTACCAAGCCCATTCATGGCATGGTTCGCACACTAATAATACTTTTTCTCGCTACCTAAGTGATGGTGTTGCAGGCATGCTAACTCCTCTGAACTATTAACTTCGTTCCTTGTAACCGTTATTGTGCTTTAATGCTATTTGCAGTTGGGAAGTTGGGAAAGGAATTTGCATGAGTAAGGATAATAGTACAAGTTAAAAAACCAATGATATGGTATATCATGCTAAATGCTGGGCAGCATTTGTAACATTATTGGAAAGCTATTTGCAATGATTTACATGAATTTTAATCTCATAAATTCCTATTGTGCTTGCTGAATTTTCATTTTAGGTTCATTGGATTCCTTAAATAGGTTTGCATGAGTTTAACGCATGTTAGGTTTGATTTCTTAAACTATAAAGGAATTGGAATCTTGAAATGGGTTGTTAATTAAAATTTCTCACATTGTGATTGATTTTAGATTTAAAGTAACAGCTATAATATTCCTTGTTAAAGGTTTGCATTCTGATTCTATATGTTCGCTGAATTTCCTGGTTTAGCTCGAGATTTATTTGCATGCCTAAGCAGGTATACTTGAGTCTAGAAAACCAAGGGCCAACATTTTCCCAATATAAATCAATTTGCAGTAAATATGAGATATACAAAGCGTACACGTTTGAAATCTTTACTCAAGAACCTGGCTAAATGAATGAGGGTAGTGATGATTTACCTATCTCCACATGAACATATCTATCCTTTTTTCATCAATATACTCACTACAATAGAAAATATGGACACAACTTCATAGTTGACAAGCATCACTATTCTACATTCCAAAGATGCAACTAAAAATGTAACTAAGAATTACACTAAACCATGCAACCAAAAATGTAACTAGGAATTACACTAAACATAATTCACTTAAAGCATATTTAGGACATAAGCTGCACAAGGAACAATAGTTTGTTTAGGATTTTAAAAAAACAAGAGCACATTTCTGGTATGCATACAAACCTTTCCGATTTGCAAAATAGTGGGCATCCATCAGACATTGTCTTGTAAAACTCTACTCTTGGATCCATTGCACCGTAAGGCTCACTAAAATGGCCTTTGCCATGGTACATTGATCTCGCTTGCTGGTAAGGCTTGTCACAGTGTCAGCAAGAGTATGCAAATCCTCAAAAAGTGATGAATTGAGCCATGTCTATTCTTGAAAAAGAATCGAGAGAAAGAAGGTCCTGCCATTCCATAACATCAGGTAGAATATGCGTGATGTGGTTGAGGGACATCTGATGTACCATGTTCTCTTTACCATATTCAAATTAATGAAGAGAAGTTTGGCATTCTTCTTTAATTTTTTTATTTATTTATTAATACAAGGGCCTATTTACCCAAGAACGAAAATAAAATGCTCCTCCAGAATTGAAATTCTTCGTTATAAATAAAAATAGGACTCCTTTCATACTCGTCCATCTTACCTTTCTTCTTATTTTCTTAAAATCAAACAATAAATGCCAATTAACCTTAAAGTACAATAAAAAGGCTCAACATACACACTCTACCAATAATCTCCACATGAACAATCACCATCCTTAAAATGGTGGAATCGATGCATGTCCCTCACTATAATATCTCTCTCTGTAATCTTAGATATAAACTTAGTAGCTGTGTGGCAATCAGCACAAACCCGAAGGTTCTTCCGAATTTGTATCGTCGTCCCTGGTCTCGTATTAATTAACCCAAATGCTATTGCAAGCTTCTCACTATGACTATTGAGAAGCTGTTCTTTAACATCATCCTCCACATCAAGAATCGAACTCGTATCAGGCACATAACCAAGGGCCTTCATCTCCATCTTTAATGTTCTTAGTGTTGCATATATCTTCTCAGCTTGTGGGTGTTTTGTGCAACCTGAATAAAACGAATGAACTTCGTTTCTTAGCTCGATCAAGCTACAACCAGGTGTCTTTTGTAGCCCTTTCTTCTCCATCATGTTTCTCACTCTAGCTACATCATCCCACCTCGAAGCACTAGCATATATGTTAGCCAAGAGAACATAGTATCCACCCTCAGGTGGCTCTAATTCAAACAGCTTCTTTGCTGCCATTTCTCCTAATTCTACGTTTTGATGGATTTTGCAGGCCCCCAACAATGCACCATAAACACTTATACCTGCTTTAATTGGCATCTTTTCGATGAAGTCCCATGCTTCATAGAGCATCCCTGAGCGCCCTAATAGGTCCACCATGGATCCATAATGGTCCATATTAGGCTCTATGCCATAGTCATTTTGCATCATGGCAAAGTATCGAAGACCTTCATTGGCTAAGCCTGAATGGCTACAAGCCGAGAGAACACATAGGAATGTAACATCATTTGGCTTGATGGGGCTCCGTAGCATCTCCTCAAAGAGAGAATGAGTGGCCTCTCCATGCCCATGAGTGCCATAGCCATCTATCATGGCATTCCATGTTGTCACATGATGCTCGTCCATCGTGTTGAAGAGCATACGAGCAGTCTCGATGCCTCCACATTTTCCATACATGTCTACAAGAGCAGTTGCTACAAATACGTTTCCATCCAAGCATGACCTTATCGCATAGCCATGGATCCATTTACCCTGGCGTAAACCAGATAAGTGAGCATAAGCAGGAATGATGCTCACCAAAGTGTAAGAATCAGGCTCCACATTCTCTCTCCTCATTTCACTAAACAAACCCAATGCTTCATTAATGCACCCGGCTTGTGTGTAACCAGAAATCATAGCATTCCATGAGCACAATGTTTTCTCTCTCTTAGGCAAATAACTGAAAATCTCATATGCTAAGTCCACTCTCTTACATTTTGAATACATTGCAATCAATGAATTCAATACCGAGACATCAGAGCCTAACCCAGCCCGAATCAACTGCTCATGAACAAGTTTCCCTTGCTCTAAATCCTCCAGATTCGCGCAAGCATGGAGAGCACCCATGATGGTAACATCCGAAACCCTAATTCCTTCTTCTTGCATCTTCCAGAAGAGTTCCAGGGCTTCTTCAGAAGCCCCACTCTGAACATATCCATTGAGCATTGCATTCCAAGAAACTACATTTCTCATAGTCATCCTATCAAAAACTTTTCTAGCAAAATCTATGCATCCACATTTAGTATACATATCTACGATTGCAGTCCCCACATTCACCATATAATTAAAGCCCGATCTTATAGAAAATCCATGTATAGATTTACCCAATTTCAACAATTCGAGATGGGCACAGGCAGGGAGGATGGTGACAAGTGTTATTGAATCGGGTCTCTCTCCTTTCTCTCTCATCAAACTCACAAGCTTCAAAGCCTCTTGTGCAAAACCATTTTGAGCATACCCAGCGAGCAATGCATTCCAAGCAACCAAATCTCTCTCAGGCATTCTATCGAACAGCTGTCGAGCCTCTGCAACTTTCCTACACTTTGCATACATATTAACCAAAGCAGTCATAGCAAAGACATTGGAACTAAACCCACTTGAGATCATATGGCCATGAATCTCTCTACCCCTCGAGAGCTCGAATCTATCACCACAATTCTTTAGAAGATAGGTAAAATTATAGACCGAAGGTTGAACCGAAGAGCGCTTCATTTCACAAAATAATTCAAATGCCTGGGTCGAAGTCGAATCCTTGGCCAACGTCTTGAGCATGGAGTGCCATAGCTCTTCAGTTTTGTTCTCTGATTGATGAAAGATAATTTGAGCTTGTTGGGTTTGCCCAAATTTGGAGAAGAGAGATAGAAGCTTGGTTTGGATGAAGACTTCGTTTTGGAGAGAGGTTTTTATGATGTGGGGTAAGATTTGAGAGAGCTCTATTGAGTCCGAGCATAGTTCAAGGAGAAGAGAGGAAGAGTGACTAAATGGGTGAGGAGGAGACGTAAGAGAGAAAGAGTTGATGATGTTGGCTTTGCTCGTGGGGGAAAGAGAGATGGAGGGTTTAGAGTGAGAAATATGGGTTTTTGTGGGGTTTGAGAGGGTTGGGACGACAATGCAGGGGTTCAGTGCAGAGGCCATTTTTAATGGCGGGTGTTATGGTCTTTCGGGAACATGATTTGTAGGTTAATATCATGAGGAAAAACTCTCTTTTAAATTAAGGATGATTATAAGGCCTAGGCTTTATGAAAACAAAATAAAGCCTCACCCCTCATGTCCCTATCCAAATAACACTTTCGGTATCGGAAATCTCCGGCTCTAAAATCAATTTTTAATGCCGACAATAAAATTTGAAACTCGAAAAAGGTACAAAACTTACATATCTATAAACACTTATTTTTAGGGTGAAATAGACAGTTTAGATAATTTGTTACAATAACCATATTTTTAGAAGTTGAAATCCTTTTTTTTTTCAAACAAGATGATCAATTTAAAAGTTTTCTAATACTTAAATTACAATTTTGGATGAGCTATAAAATGCAGCCCTATCAAACCATTTTTCTTTAAATCATATGAATAAAATGGCTGGATCGTCTCAAGAATATTAGTTAGATAAGCTAAATTACACCAAGGTGGTTACCTTTCCATAAGTATCACTTTAATTATTTTGCAAGAAAATGCCCGGACTATTGTTGTCGGGCAGTGTTTTAGAACCCCTATTGGGAGGTTGGATCGGCCACCGGCTGAATTGATCTAGATCACTGAAATGAGCTAGATTGGGCCAACGGCTAAATTGATATGGATCACTGAAATGGGCTATAGATCGAACTGATTCTTGGTATGAGATTTGGTTAAATAAAATAAAAATAAATATCATTTTTAATTTAGAAGAGAAAATTTAAAAATTAAAAACTAAAATAGGTAGGAGCTGGAATATTTTATCCATTTTCCCTAACAATCTTGCTTGGTTTTTCGACAGAACTAGGTGAGTTTATCAAAATTGTATCAATTCCCAGTTTTGATTGCGACTACTAAGGGTTGCCCTTATTCCCCAGCCGAATTGGTAGTTTTAAAAACACTGAAATTCTAAATAAATGAAAGTATTTAGGTAAGTCGGCCACTTAATTTCTTAAGCCGAATAACTCGAATATCTCAACTTGTTGCAGCTTCTAAACTATAAAAATCTTCTTCCATATTTAGAACTTGGAACTTGTAGCCCATTAGGAATATTTATGTCTTTTGACATACAAAATATTGTAAAAAAAAAAAACATTCTACTTGAAACAAATATTTATGTCATTTGGCTCAAATGACAAGCATGGGTCACTTACCAACATGCCTTTTTAAGGTTTACAATGTGGAATTTTCAATACAAGTTTTAAGAATTTTGGTTGAGAAAATCATGACAAAATCAAAGAAGGTAGATTAGGTTTTGAGCTAAAAAAATGTGAGTTTTTTGTTGTCTTAATCTCACAAAAATTTGATTTTATCCAGAAATGCTTTTTGGGATTTTAGATCAATAAGAAATGAAAAATGAATGGGTAGCCCATTAAGGATATTTACCCTTTCCAACTCAACTGTCTAAGAAATAAAAAGAAAATGAAATGAATACTTTGGGACAAATTTGAGAGGATTTGGTGAATAAATGAGAGAAAAAAAACTTCTAATATTTATATATTGAAAACATAAACAAAAGAAAAAAGTACATAAATAGATTATTTAATTTTCATACAAAGAAGTTGTAATTACTTTCGTCCGTCAAATTTCAAATCAAGTACTTGTTTATCATTGATTAGGTAGAAAATTCAAATACAAATTTCTCCAACTTTGTAACACACTCCAAGCTCTTCATTTGAAATCAGTTGGTGAAATAAATAGTCTCATAACATACAATCCCAAAGAAAAGGATAATTGTTTAGTGTGTCCAAGCCCGCACCTGTTATTATGCAGACTTGGAGATCTACACCGTCTATATAATTGGACGGCATAGGTCGTTCTTTGTCATCGAGGGAGGAAACGTGATCGGCAATCCCTGTCTATCTCGCACACACTTAAACAATAATCTTTTTATTCTATTCTCTCTCTAAAAACCCAGACCCTCTTCATGAGAAACCTAAAACCGGGAGCAATTCAGGCTCTAGGGTTGAAGATGACAATGGTGAGCATATTGTTAAAAGATGCTTGAGCGATTCTGATAATGATGAGAAAAAGGTGACGAAGGAGGTTTGGTTTTCTCAAGATAAAGATACAATAAATGATGCAAAAAATGCCTAAAAATTAGAGACAATCTCAAATGAAAAATTGTTCACAAGAGAAGAAAAAGCCAACCCCAAAACAGTTGAAGAGAGAGAGAAAGCATCATTGGATAGAACCAATCCTGGCAGTAAAGTTAGGGAGGAAATAAGGAAGATATAAGAAATTATTAAAGTTTCGTGTTCTGAAGATGCCCAATAAGCCAAAATGAACACGCCGCCCCTTTTCCTCAAAAGAAGGGGAAAAGATTAAGAAGTCAAAGAGAGAGAGAAGAATATTGAGTTAAAATAAAAAGTTCCCTTCTATTATTGATTTTTGTACTGATGATGGAACTGCAAGATCAGACAAGGATGAAATTACCAAAAAGAATGGCTAGAATCATGCTAGAAAGACATTACGATCTCTAAATAATAAGAACATTATCACCCCAAAACAAATCAAATCAAATGGAGAAGGTGCAGAGCATGATTTCCATATCCCTCACTTTCCATGCACAACTCTCTCTCTATGTTTACGATGGCGTTATCTCCAAAAGCATTAATTTTCTGTCTCTTAAAACAGAGCAAGGGATGTGTTGACTGTGGAGACCACATTATAATAGGTGCGGGCTTGGGTCCCAAGGAAAAAGGGTAAACCAGGCGATTTTGGCCGGAGAGAGGCAGGCTGAAACCTCACCAGTTCCGATTCGAAATTAGGAATCTAAGCCCAATCCTATTTTTGAAACCTCGCTTCCAGGAAATGTACATCCTGTTACATGCTTCATACTGTTCATATGAATACATGTAGTCATGTACTATTATCATGTTTCAAGAGCTTTATGTAACATGCATCACAGGAAACAAATTACACTATACTGTTGACAAATGGGCATGAGTTTCAAAAAGACAGAGAGCTTCTAATTATATTGGTTAGAAGACAATGTCTGGGTTGTCCTGCCTTCAATGGTGGCTTTCCAAACCCATATCCAGTTGAGACTGTATCAGACCCACTTTCTCTCTCTACACAAAAACTCCATTTTATATAACAGCTTAAAAATCCATTTCCGCTTGCGATTCTTTCAGCCCCACTTCTTCTCTCTACACAAAAACTCCATTTCATATCACAGCTCAAGGAACCATTTCCACCTGAGATTGTCTGAGCCCCACTTTCTCTCTCTTCATGAAAGATACAATTTATATCATAGCTCAAGGACCTTCCAATCTCCCTCGTACGCTTCAATTCTTCACCATCTCCGAGAACTAAAGCCTCTGCAACAAGTCCATGCCAATATAGTAACCTCTGGCCATGGCCAAAATATTTTCTTATCAAATAGGTTACTCAATGCCTATGTATTATGTGGATTCATTGAATATTCTGGTCATATTTTTCGGCGAATGCCACACAAGAATGTGGTCTCTTATACAGCCATGATCAATGGATTCTCAAAAAATGGTCTTCCCAGTAATGCTCTTAGAACTTTCTATGAAATGAAGCTTGATGGGGTAGAGCCCAATGAGGTCACAGTGGTAAGTGTTCTACCGGTTTGTGGTAAATTGGGTTTGTTTCAAGAAGGTAGATTGATTCATAGTTACTTGATTCAATCAGGTTTGAAGGCAAATGTACTTGTAAATAGTGCTTTAGTAGACATGTATGCGAAATGTGGCAGTTTGGAAAATGCACTTCAAGTTTTTGATAAAATGAAGGAAAGAAACATTGTTTCGTGGAATACAATGATATCCGGGTATTTGGATAATGGTTTTGGGTGGGAAGCTCTAAACTTGTTTAATGAAATGAAGAGAGAAGGGGTGAATGGAGATGCTGTTACATGTATGAGTTTATTATGTGCGTGTGAACATTTGGGATGTCTAAAGCCAGGATGCATTATTCATGGCCAGGTAACTAGAAGTGGCTTTGAGTTGGATAGGCTTGTGGGGACTCGTTTGATTCAAATGTATGTGAAATGTGGATCTATCGAGGATGCACACCGAGTTTTTGACAACTTGTTTGACAAGGATGTGGTCTCATGGACAATCATGATTTTGAGCTTCTCTGAAAATGGGCATGGAGACAAAGCTGTAAAACTTTTTTATGAGATGCAAGCGAAAAATGTGCAATTGGACTCTGTTGCTTTGATGGGTGTGCTCTCAGTATGTGGTCAACTGGGGGTTTTAGGCACAGGTGTAGTTGTTCATGGTTTAATGGAGAAGACCGGGTTTGGAAGCGATGTTCGTGTTGGAACCGCAATTATAGATATGTATGCAAAATGTGGTAGTTTGGATTGTGCGCGCAAATTCTTCAATGGGATGTTTGACCGGGATGTTGTCTCTTGGAATGCAATGATAGTAGCAAATGGGATAAATGGCCATGGTGATGATGCAATTGATCTTTTAACGCAGATGGAGCACGTAGATTTGCGACCAAATGAGTCGACTTTGGTGTGTGTCTTGTGTGCATGTAGTCATGCCGGATTGGTAGATCATGGGCTCCAAATATTCAACAGGCTGATCAGACAGTTTAGCATGGTGCCTAATTCTCAACATTATGCTTGTGTTATTGATCTTCTGGGCCGTGCTGGGCGTCTGGATGAGGCATACTCGTTTATAAAGAATATGCCTATGGCCCCAGATGCGGGAATTTTGGGGGCCTTGCTTGGTGCTTGTAGACTACATCGTAACATTGGATTAGGAGTTCTGGTGGCCAAAGAACTTTTTGAGTTGAACCCAAAGGATGCTGGTTATTATGTTCTTTTGTCTAATATGTATGCCATGGCTGGACTGTGGGATGGTGTGTCGGAAACTCGAGTGCTGCTAAGATCAAAGGGTTTGAAGAAGACCCCTGGATGTAGTTTAATTGAGATAGATGGGGAGGTTCATGCATTCATTGTGGGGAATACAGATCATCCTGAAATTGATGAAATATACAAGATGCTCAAGCATTTAATCTTGGAGATTCAAGTGGTTGGCTATGTGCCTGACACTAAGTTTGTGGTCCAAGATGTGCCAAATGATGTCAAAGAAGAAATATTGTGTCATCACAGCGAGAAGCTAGCCATTGCTTTTGGGTTATTGAGAACTCCACCTGGAACAACTATACGAATCACAAAGAACCTTCGTATCTGTGATGATTGTCACACGGCTAGCAAGTTCATCTCTAAAGTTGTTGGGCGAATTATCATTATGCGGGATGCAAAGCGATTCCATCATTTCCGAGATGGTCGATGTTCTTGTGGAGATTATTGGTGACTCCAGGAAAACAGAACAACTTTTCACAGAACTCCTTAGTGTGGGGTTTCCTCGTATTGCGAAGTCTATAATCTTTTGGGTGGTGGCTTGCTTTAACAAAATTCTTATCGTTGATCACCTTTAACATAGGTGATCACCTTTACCATAAGGGATTACCCATCCAATATATATGTGCTTTATGTGCAAGGGAAACAGCAGAGGCTGAACCCCATGTTTGCATTGTCGAATCTGTGATTTGGTCCGCCTTTGCTAATGTGTCCTTTGGACTTCTTTGGAAATTGGCTGGATTTGACAAAGGCCTTTTAACAAGTGGTGTGGTGTGATGTCATTGTGGTTGCCTCAAAAAAATGTGCTTTTCCATGTTGAGGACTGGGTCATTTGGAGAAAAAGGAATACAAAAGGTTTTCATGACACATCTATTAGCTTCCCCAGCCGAAAAGAATAGATAGGGCACCATTTCTTGTTAAGGGTAGAATGTCGGGGCATCTTGGCTACCAATCTCGGCTGCATTTTGTCCCCAATCAATTGGTCTCAATTCTGAATCACCTTCCCCCACCATCTTAAAATTCTTTTTTTTGGACGTCACTGAGAAAAGAATGAAGTTGCCACTCTCTGGGATAGACTGATGAAATTGCTACTCTCTTGTAAGGTGTTAATGACATACTCAAAGTTGTCTGATGTCCGCATATCAACACATTTCGCCATATTGACACACATGACACTCCTAGACAGGGGAGAAGGGGCCGGGTGGGTTGGGGGAGGGACATTTGTATGAACAGTGTTCAATGGGAGAGGGGCACTGTAGACACAATGTCCCAGCTTGTGTAGGTGAAACATGCTCCAATAAAAATTGAACCCTGGCATGAAATTGCCACTGTCTTGTTAAGGAGGAGTCTTTTATGCTCCTCTCTCCTAACCATGGACAACGAGTGTCCCTCTTCCTTGTGAGATGCTAACCAGACACTTCAAAATTGCCTTAGTTATGTACTTCAAAATTGCAAAATAAGTTAAACTAATGACTTTTGCTTTAAATCAACACACACTACCACCAAAAGTAGTAACCTTCTGTAATAATATATTCAATTTCAGATTATCAATTTAAGTTTAATAAAGAAGCTACTAGTGGTTAAAATACAAATCAAATATAACATCAATAAACAAGGTAAAAATATACTATTTAAGTAATTTTGATTCATTTCCCTTGTTGGACTAGTAATTAATTTTCTTTGTTGACTAGTATTTAATTATTTACTTTGGCTATCTTTGTGAGTTTGGGTGGCTCTTCATCAAAACTACTAAAAGTGATTTCACCTGATGGCTCTTTCTGTCAAACCACTAGCTGTTGGAATAATATCACGCCAATGACCCGGATTGAATTTGAGCGGATCTGAAGTGTAGCTAATTGTTTGATTTTTAACTTTTTTAGAAATATATTTTTATCTTTTTTATAAATCCAATGTGCTGGACCATTTGCATCTAACCTATATGAAAAATAAATAAATAAAGAATAAAAAAGACCAAAATAACAGTCTTTTTATTTTCTGTGCATACTAAAATTTCAGGTCATGGATTTATAGATAAAGATAAAAATCAAACAATGTTTGTACATATTAGTCATCAGATCTATCAAGATCGAACTATTACATCATCTAATGGGCTAGCAAAATATTTTTCCATATATGTTTTTTATGTGTATATACGTGTTTTCCCGTGCCTTGATTTTAGTTCCGCACATTTGACACTTGGACAAGCATCAGATCCGCTCACCCGTGCTAATGCATCAAAAAGCTAAAAACTATGAGGAAGCTCCAGGTAAATAGAACCAAAATGCCATATTAAGATGGGAATCGATGGAGTTGTGCAGGAAACAAAAGGCAGCATTGAGTACCAGTTTCAAGAAGTCATCGTCATCATCAGTGCTTTTGTCAACTATTGGGTCGGGTGCACAAATCCTGGTCCGCCATTATGCTCTATTAAAGGCCATTGCAACGTGTTCTTATGCTATATTGAGTACTAGTTTCAAAAAGCAACTTAAAGAAAATAAGTTATCTTCATTGCAATTGTTTTCTTATGCTACTTAAGGTGTGAAAGCATGCTAATTGGTAAAAAAATTACACATCACTGGCCAGTTCAAAGTAATGGATTTTAGCACAAAAATTTACAAGCTCCATTTGAATTAATCCACACTTTTATGTTATCTCAAAGTAACTTTAAAACATAATTCTAGCTAAATAGTAAATACAAGATAATAGGCAATGGACCCAACTATTGTGAAGGTATAAAATGCATAGCAGTTGCAATTGTTTCCGGAGCTGCAAACTTGATGCCCTAAGTCTTCTTTCTTCATATCTGGACAATACTGCTTTACAAATATTGCTGGCCTTCCAAATTCCAGTAGTTTATCCATTCCTATTCACAATGTGTGTGTTTTGTTTGTAAGAAACAAATCAAAACATAATTTGCACTTACATTTATTTCATAAATTGTCAAAAAAATTATATTACTTTCATACATCTAATTAATTTGAGTGAAAACAACACAAAAATCAGAATGTTCTTATAAGCAATTGAATGTTTGCAATCCTGATATGGTTTAGCTGCTCACAAATTAGTTAGGGCCATGGTGCTGTATTCTCATTTCACTACCTGGAAGCCTCAACTTAGGACTCCATATACCACTAGCAGCATTACAGACTTTACATGGGCATTATATGTTCTTAAAATATTGGGAGTGACAAATTACTTGCATGCATAAGAGAGGAAAGAGAACACAACACCCACATGTATGTAAGTTACATATAATGATCATGTAATCCTCTCCCACAAGTTCGCACATTGATTTAGGTGATCCCAACTTCCCAGTCATGCGTCTCAATCTTATGTTTGGCAAGGGTTTTGTGAAAATATAGTGTATCTGATCTTTTGTCTCACACGAGGGGAGTGAATTACCTCTGAATCTTTTCCCTGATAAAGTGACAGCATACTTCTATATTCATTGCATAGATAAGAGGCGATGTCTGTTGAAGCCCAATCGTCGCAATGATCTCTACAGCATGGTCAACTATACTGACTACATCCTCAAACAAGGCCTTTAGCTAACACACATGGAGTGAAGTCTATAGCCCGTAGGCAGCTTTTGCACTAATTCTAGCAAAATTTGGTTTGTTCCTGCATTTCCAGGTGATATTTTTTCTTCCAGAAAGGTTCAAAATATTGTGTTAGACTGATAGCATCCGAAATGATGAGGTTCCCATTTCAGGATATTAACACAACTGTTTTCTGATATCTCAATATTCAGTTAATGATTATACGACACATCGAAACGTGCCCCCCAGCTAAGAATCGATACCCCATCAATCATTTCTCCATAAAATTGAAGCCAATTGACAGGTCTTGGTGCAGTGTTTTCTATTCTTGTTTAGGAGATTGAGGGTTCTTCTTATGAAACTAAAGATAGCAAGGCTTAATCTTACTTGCCCCGGAAACACAAACTTTCCAAAGTCTGGTGTGTCAAAGGCTCCTCTTAGGCAATGTTTTGACTCCACTAGACTGTTGGTATCACCCGTGAGCACATGATGTCATCAACATATGGTAGTGGCACAATCTTCTTCTTTTTCCTTTCAATTTCTTGACTCTCTTAATATTCATGGAGCAGCCATTGGTAAATTTGAAGCCAAGATTCATCACAACTGAAATGGAATTCTCAAACAAAACACTTGAATTGTTTAAACTGTAAATAACAACTTCGAAATGGAACCAAGCCTTGATCTGCCAAACAAGCAGGCCTGAGTGTACTTCCTCCTCCTTAAGTTACCACAAAGAATATTTCCTTAAGGTCAAGCTGACATAGGCTGGTCATGGTTTGCTATTAGTAATAGAACAACCCTCACAATACTCATTGGGGCAAAAGGAATAAATCTTTCAATGAATCTCTTATCTTAACCGAACCCTTCGGGTTAGAAGTGGTAACATGTACTTTGAAAGTTGAAACTGACATAAATGGTTCAATTTTCAGCTCACACAGCCATTGTAAAGCTTAGTACATTCTTTCCCAGAAGTGGTGGTATGAATTACCTGAACACTTGTTTTACTTATGGGTCTTAATTTCTTCCACCATTTCTTCCTTTCATTTAAATTGGCTACCAGTTCAAGCAAATTTGTTGTTCTTGATCAAATCATAAATGCTTTTTTTTGGGTAAATCAGTGGGGGAGAAGCCCCTTATCTGGTTTTTCATTAATAAGATAAAAAAATTCAAATCATAAGTTTACAGCTCTACAGTAAGGCATTTGTGCCGGTCATGAAGTAAAAGAAGGGAAATAAAATCCGGTGGTCTAATGCGAATAAATGCTACAACACAAATACATGCGACAAACAAGTGTGAGAATCTCACTAAAAGCATCACTGAATCATGATAGTTTTTTTTCCACCTTAATGCTCAAGACTCTAGAAACCTGATAATTGAGATCCATCTAGGTAACTCATATGCCACCCACCATTCATGGTGGTGAGGCTCTTCCCCTCTAAAAGGAATGGAGGAGATCCAGCCAGAGAATCCCCAAAATTAGTGTAGTTTACCATGCCTCTCATTTTTCCAGGCCCCAAGGGAAGTGCAATTTCCATGGAAAATGATTTCCACGGTTAAACTTGCTCACCAAATTACCGGAAATCGAGTTCTCCATAGAATTTGGTTGCCTGGAAATTGCAGAACCCATCAGCGCACGTGCCCTTAATGTGACCGCCAAATTGCTTCTTGCTGACATGGACAGGAAATGTACTTCCAAATTATTTATCAAGATGGACGTGACGGAGTAGCGTAACAGTTTGGACCGTCATTCGATCGCTTGGTTGGCTCTAACTTAAAATTGAGTTTCATTGGAAAGTGGTCCAACCAAAGTTCTGCCGCGCCGAAGCTCTAAATCGAGTTTCGAGTTTCACCGGAAAGTGGTCCAACCAATGTTATGATGTGCGTAAAAGCTGTAAATCGAGTTTAATTGGAAAGTGGTCCGACCAATGATCTCTAAATCGAGTTTCATTGGAAAGTGGTCCAACCAATGATATGTTGTGAGCGGAAGCTTTAAACCCATTGGCTTATTTTGTCAAATAAAGTACCAGAAAAATAAAACGGACAACAAGCAAGAAAAATAATGCAGAAAAGAAATAAAAAAAAAAAAAACACTCAAATTTATGTGGTTCATCAACAAACTGAAATCACTACAAGTTATATCATAGATTTTGGGACATAGGGTTACCTCTCTAACCGTCAACAAAGCCCAGTTGAGCAAACTAACTATTTTAGACATGCTCTCCAGACTGGCACCACTGCTGATCTCTCATATCTATTCTATAACTAACTAGACCATGTTCTCTAACTAAGAAGGGAAACGCCTAAAATCTCCATAAGAACCGCTTCTCTACAAAACAAAACACCAACATCTCAATTTGCAAGAGGTTTATCTCTATTCTATAGCTAACTAAACCATTGTTCAAAAAGAGAACTTTGAGACCAACTGAGATCTTCTCTAACTAAAAAAGAAAAGCCTTTAATATCTCTATGAGAACTGCTTCTCTACAAGAAACTAGCATCTCAATCTGCAAGAGACATTATCACAATGTTTTCATGGGAAGCTCTCTTCTATTTAAGGTGTATCTCATGCATAGGGTCCAAAAAGAGAACCTTCCATGGGAAGCTCTCTTCTATCTAATGTGTATCTCATGCATAGGGTCCAAAACAAGAGCCTTGAAAGCAACTGACACATTCTTTAATTAAAAGGAAAAATCCCCTAAATTTCAATGTGATCTGCTTCTCTACAAAAAACCAACATCTCAATCTACATGAGACATCATCACAATGTTTCTCTCCGCATGGAACTCGATTCTCTCTAAGGTTTCTATATTCTCTTTAAGGGGAGGCCTTGCCTCTCATGCATAGGAAACCCCTGTCCCTCTCTCTAGAAGAAGTTACATTTCCCAGATGGTGACCCAAATTGGGGACATGTATTCCTTCTTCTTTCATACAGTACATATAAGGTTAGAAATTCAAACTAAATAGGAAACTTCCCGTAAATATTACATATATCTCAAAAACAAGAGATATACTAAAGACTCTTAATCTTTTTAGATTTCTATTTTTTTTAGGAACCTTATTAATATCAATTCCAATCCCACATAAGTGACCAACTAAAGCACAAAAAAAAAAAAAAAAAACCTAAATGTTTGAGTGATTCGAGGTCCAACTTTTGCATTAGACTTTCAAATTTCCAAAGACATATTTTTGGCAGTCTAAAGTTATTACTTCAAACATCCCAAATACACTATTTTCTTGTGTGTTGGGCAGTTTGAGAGTAAGATTTTTCAAATCCAATGGATAATAATGCCCCAAAAAATACGGACCACATGGTAATGGTCTCTTCTTCGGTCTCTTCTTCCAGTCCCAGTCCTAATGCAAATTTCCCTTATTTTAGATTCGATCCAACATTTAAGTGACCCGATGTTTGATGGCGCGCATCTAAAGTACACTGGTTGAGAATGGCGTCGTTGTTGTTGTTGTGGTGGTAGCACAACGTGAGGTCACGACCTCCATTGTCGTTAATAATTTCAAAAATTGGCTATTTAAAAAAAACTGATAGGGGTAAAGCCCATAGATCCACCAAAATAAAGAGCAAATTTAGTTACGGATTCAACATAAATAAATAAAATATAAAATGAATTAATTTTAGATAAAAAATTGTGAGAATGGTCGTTTTCAATTCTAATATTTTATTTTATTTTATTGTCTGGGCCATGTCCTATTTGGGACAATTGGCAACCGGTCTGAAGTTTCCATCCTCAGACCACCCAAATTGTGGTGTTACAACACACTACAGGCAGTCCGAGGTCCCCGTCCTAGGACTACCCAGATTGTTGTGTTGCAGCACATTATAGGCAGTCTAAGTTCTCCATCGCCAGACTGACTTCAGATCTCCAATAATGTGGTTGAACACTACAATGTAGGTGGTCTGAGGATAGGGACCTCGAACTACTATTTGGATTGAAGTGGTCTTAGCTCTTCATCCTCGAACTGTCTATAACATGGTGCAACACCACAATCTGAGTGATCCAAGGATGGGGACCTTAGACGAATCGCCAGCTATCCTAAACCGTAGGACACTGCCCAGAAAGTTGAAAAAAATATTAAAACCGGTCCAAGGACTAAGGGGCATTATGGGAAAATTTAAAAATTTCTACAGTTAGTGACTTTCTTGCAATTTTTAGCCAAAATTGACTATCTTATATTTGGGTGTTGTTTGTGTAGAGCCTAGGCTCTAAACAATCACATTAGAGCCTACCTTCAAATGGTGTCGAGAGTTGTGATTTCAATATTGGAAATCTTTGTAATAACTTTAAAATATATTTTTATATTTATTTATAAAGTTTAAAGCTTAAAAAATAGTGTAGATCGATGTATCTATGAAAACTTGAAAATTGATAGTCCAAAAATGCATCACAAAATACACTATTTCTAAAACTTGCGGTCCATGCATCCTGATGTCGAGATGATCAATTTGAAGATATTTGAGCATCAAAACAACATCTTCTAGTGAAATTTTTGAGGTAGGATCAAATTTGATTGTTTAGAGCTTAAGCTCTATATAAACTTTTTTCTTTATATTTTATTTATTTATTTTGTATTGGTACATAAATTATTCAAAAATAAAATACATTTACTATTCCATGAATAAAAAGGGAAAATAAAAGAAAAAAAGAGAGCGGGCAAGATTGGAAAGAAAAAGGAGAGGCAAGGATGACATTGGGAGCAAGAGCAAGAGAAAGAGAAAGAGAGAATGAGGAACGGTGGAAATGAAGGCGTGCATTATCCTCACCACAAGAGAGACGTGGTCACTCCCAAAACCCGTCATGCACACCCCCTATCCTTTTCCCTTTATCTCTTAATGACCGACCCTCTTTCTCTCACACCTTCAAACTCCTGAACCCCATCCAACTATCGCTTATTTTTCTAAGTGAAACCATCCCCACAAACTCCAACACCATGCCTCAATCCCTGCTTATGTCAGGGGCCGCCATAGACTTCAAGAGAGATAATGCTTTGCTCCAGTTTCAGAGCACACATAGCCTTCTTCGCCCTGCTCCTTTCTCTCACTCTGTACGCCCACCACTTCCACCTCGCCGCTGCCTCGTTCTTGGCACCCCATTTCCCCTCGCTCTCTTCAAATCCAAAACCAAAGCAGCCCCGGTCAAGAAGGTACTCTCTCTCTCGTTCTCGTTCGCTAGCTTATGTGCATGAGTTTATACAAATGTGTCATTAGGTTGCAGAGTCGAAGCCAAAGGTTGAAGATGGCATCTTTGGAACCTCGGGAGGCATCGGTTTCACAAAGCAAAACGAGCTCTTTGTCGGCCGTGTTGCCATGATTGGTTTCGCTGTAAGTTTTGTCATTCATATATTCCTCACACACACACAGTTTCTATCATTTCTTTAGCACTTCATGCTGTGCTCTTCGTCTCTTGGACAATGTTCTTCAAATGAAAGTGAAGAATATATGAAGGAAGAAGAAAATGGAAAATGTTAAAAGGTATTTTTATGTTGTTAATTGTGGAAGAATTTAAAAAGAGGAAATGGATAAAAAAACACAGTAAAAGGAAAACGAATGATAAGGGATAAGCCCAAGGAAAATTCGAATACAATACTGGAAACAATGAAAGAAATGCAAATAAAATTTGGTAAACCAGGAAGCATATTGAAAGAAGGAACAAATCTTTTGTAATTCATTAATTCGATCAATCACAATAGATCATGAGAAAGAGATGAGAGGGGCTGGGAGCACTTTATCAACAATGTCTATGATAATACTTTATGGATATTTAATGTAATTAATATCAACGATGTCTATCTACATTCGTAAAGTTGAAGACATATTGGAGGCCAATTCTAACAATTCTCCGATGGGGGGTGGGAGTGGGGGTGGGTATTGAACCAGTGTACCATGATTCGCCTCGGGCATGGGACTTTGTCCCCTGGCTAAGGGAACTTTAAAAACATGAGGAAAAAATAAGATGTTTTTTTTTTTTTAAGTTTGTAAATGTAAAATAAAACCAAAATGAACTTTGAAGAGTCAACATAATCTTAAAAATTTGACAAAAGTTGATTAAAAAAAAATGATTTACAGTTTGGGACATTTTAAAAAAATCCAAAAATAGAGATTATGGCAAAAATAACTCACCAATCTCTGACAAAAACATTTAAATCATATACAAATTTTTTTATAAAGTGACACTTTTTACAATTATTTCAGAATTTTTTAGATTTGTTCTTGTTCCCAAGTTGTGCACACAACTCGAGCATGCCCATAGGGTGAGGCCGAGTTAAGGCACACTGCATAGATTTCATTGAGATAAAAATCCAAGAATGTGGTGATTTTTTCAAGCCTTTCCAATGATGGACGGTCTTCATTGGCAACAATTTCTATACCTGATTTTCTACTAAAGAGAAGAATTGATTGCAGGCCTCTATACTAGGAGAAGCAATTACAGGGAAGGGAATTCTAGCCCAATTGAACTTGGAAACAGGGATACCCATCTATGAAGCAGAGCCTCTCCTCCTCTTCTTCATCCTCTTCACTCTCTTGGGTGCTATTGGAGCTCTTGGTGACAGAGGGCGCTTTGTCGATGACTCTCCAACCGGTCTTGATAAGGCTGTTATTCCCCCTGGAAAAGGGATTCGATCGGCTCTAGGGCTCCCGGAAGGAGGTTAACCAGATGCTGCTCTCTCCTCCCTATCACTCAATTCTCTATGATTTCTCTTTCTACATTCTGTTTCTGATTCATGGGTGTTTGTTTTTTCTGCTCAGCTTGATTTCATCTTATGATGTTTGAATTGCTCTCTCTCTCTCACACACTTCGATGCACACACCTCGTAACCCAAGCATGTATCATTCATTTTCATATGATTTTTCCCTCCATTTCAGATTAGTGGGCGTTTGTTTTTGACACTCTTCAGTTTAATTTCATCAACTACTGTCTGAATCTCTCCCTCTCTTTCTCTCTCTCTCTCTCTCTCAGGCCCTCTGTTTGGATTCACAAAAGCAAACGAACTATTTGTGGGCAGACTTGCACAACTCGGGATTGCATTCTCGATTATAGGAGAGATAGTAACAGGAAAGGGAGCTCTGGCACAGCTCAACATCGAAACTGGTGTGCCTCTCAGTGACATCGAGCCCCTTGTGCTCTTCAATGTCCTCTTCTTCTTCGTTGCAGCTTTGAATCCCGGCTCTGGTAAATTTGTCACTGATGAGGACAAAGATTAGAATGTGATCCTGTGTTTTTTTTTGCATGTCCTTTTAACATGTAGTTATACAATCTCAGTTCTGGTAATTCATGTAGTTATGCAATCTAAGAAGCTCAGTTCTGGTAATTCATGTAGTTTTCTTCGTGTGGGATATTTATGAACCATCGATTTCTTCCCTGTTTCAATTGATATAAGGATTATCTGCTTAATTCTCCACTGTTGCAGCCTATCATCTAGGTTTGTGGAGAAACTGGTAATTCATTCTTGACCTTCCGAAGCGGTGTTCAGAAAATCAACTCGACCGATTAGCCGAGTTATTTGAAACAAAATTTTTCGGCCAACTGATATCATGTGGAAAACAATAATCTACTGAACTACAGATATCAGTTGCAGGCAAGTTTGAGATTTATGAATATTAATTTTGGTTTGTCTAATATAAAATTATCGCAATACACTCGGAATATAGTGGAAACCCGTTAAACAAATCTCTAAATTCTTGAATCAATCATGAGGGCCCCTGACCTGAACAGGGCTTAGGGAAAGTCTCTTGTCCACATCACGTGAGTGGTGGAAGCGTGAGTTGTATATATAATTTTATGTAGAATACTAAATATAACATTCTTAAATTATTTAAGGGTATTTTGATCAACTATTTTGTTCAAAATATTCTTTTGCAATTTTTATTTGGTGCTCTACATAAATATATTCACACCCTAATTTCTAGATAAATATCATTTTAAAATAAATGAAGGGTTCTTGTGCACACATCACGCAATACCAATTTTGTTTAACCAAACCATATAAACTTGTTACAAATGGATTACTAATGTTGTTGATCATATCCACCGTCTGCACTCAAGACGGAGGGCAGATATGAACCGCATGGATCCTTTATGCTGTACTTTCACTTGGCCGCTATATAACCCAGATGATCAAAACCACCCCGATTCTTTGAAATGATACGGTTTCTATGGGTTCATGTAGAAATGAGTCTCCTCCTAAAAATCTATTTTTGATTCGGATTTTTTGACTTAATTTTTAAAGACATGTAATCCCTAACATAGACATCATGAATATGAAAAAATAAATAAATTTTAAAAATTAAAATAATAATTCTATTAAAAAACATTTGAACCGTCAGTTTCAACTGCTTCTAAATGGACTACCTATTTGCATCGATGAATGCTTCATACCTTGGGACCGCATAATGTAAAAATGCAGTCCAACCAGCATGAAACAAATTTCCTTAAAAGATATGAGGTTTCAATAGACATGACAAATACTGCGATCAATTGACATCCACCCGCCCCTGCCCCCAAACACAACAAACAACAACACAAACAAAAAAAGAAAAAGAATAGAAAAAAACCATAGCTAAATATTATTTTATTAAAATTGTATATTATGAGACCATTAATCTTTGTTGCAAAGAAGTCATGTCAAATTGGATGGTTTGGAGTGTGTCATAGAGTTCAAGATCTTTTAATCTAGCTAATGACAGCCTTCAACTAACCGATTTGAAATCTAAAGTATAAGAGTGTTTGTGACCTCCTTGTACCGAAAGGAAATAGTCTCTTTGTATATTTATTCCTATTTTGTTACATTCATCACTTACACCATTATTTTTTGTAATACATATCATATGAACCAAATTATGAAAGGTGATCCTTTACCACTTGCATAAATTGCAATAGAATTTCACTAGATTCCAATAACATTTACAGGACGTCAAATATATATTAAAAAAAAAAAACATCAATTGTTCGGAAGCTTCATGCAAAAACCTTCTCGCATTGTCCATCAATTTTACAGTCTAACCAACAGAATATATCCAGAAAACATCTGTCAAGGTGGTCTACCACAACACTTATTGTCCTTTTATTGCTCTTCATAGTACAAAAGAAATAAAAAAGAAAAACCAAAGGAAGAACAAGGAGTGAAACATTTCAGAGTACTTGAGATCTTCAGCTCGGAGATAGACAAAAGAAAGCTCACCTACGACCAAATAAATCGTAATGACAGGGTGGACATTCTTTTCACTTCAGGGGCAGATAGATTTAGGTTAAGAGATAAATAAAGGAGAAATTAGCCACCAGTTTAAGGAATTCCAAAGATCCTAAGATGGGGACAAATTGTTGGCAACACAATTATCCAAAAAGCGGATCACATGAGACTAACCTCTAAATCTTATAGCCTGGAGTGTCTCGAAGTCCAAGATTTGAAAGACAAAAGCAATAAGATTCCCAATCAGTTCTTCGTAGATACTTGAGCAACTTTTTCCGCCTTTGGACCATAGCTAGAAGACCCTTCCGAGAATGCTTATCCTGTGACAAATATAATCCATGATGGTTCTTTTCATTGATAAATTAAGATTTCATTTAAAAGAGACAAATAAGTTTAAAACCTCAAACCGTGTCAAGCTGAAGTAACAGAATTATGGTGGCGGAAAGTCAAGAGCCTTTATTATAACGTCAGGATTACCAAAGTCTCATTGAGTGGGAATGGGAGTGGGAATGGAAAGGAAAAGAGAATGGAAGTGGGAAATGTCAATTTGCAAATGATATATTTGAAGAAAACCCGATCACAATTTTCACAATAGCACTCACGAGTTATGAATGGAAAAGTAAATTTTTGAAGAAGAAAAATTATGAACGGAAAGGACAAAATCTTTGAAAAGACCCAAACTACTGGCTCAAAAGATGTGAAAAAGATGTACAAACCTTTTTATGCAAAACTGATGATAGATGCTTGATTTTCGTTGTAAGTTGCGCTACTGCAACGGACATGACATAATATTATGAAAAAGGTAAAATAGATGGCAAGGCTATAAGAAATGATACGAAATATATGTGCTATCAAGTGAATAATATAAAAACAAAAACGATGATCTACCCAATACGCTTAATAAATTTGAAGCAGTAAGAATTGCCCTCTGAAGAAAATCTGCAAATCTAAGATGCCCAGATACTTACAAAATGCTCAGCAGCCGGTGTCAATATGACATGACATTGATACTGAAAACGTGTGAAATTATGCACAAAAGCTAGCTATAGTTGCAATGATAATATCATTCCAGCATATATTGATTAAGGGGAGAATGAGGAGGCAGACACTGTCAAATGGTAGGGTTAAGGAAGGAATTTTTATTAGTAAAAGCTCAGCTTCTTTTTGGGATGCTCTTACACCTATGTGATCGGTGCTTGAATACGTTTTTGTTATTTACAAAAAGTTATATATCTGATTCATTTCTAGAACATGTAATATGATATATTCCTGTGGCCATGGTTGCATGCAGCCCCAGCATTTTGCAGTGTCTAAAAAAAATGGACAGCACAAGATGGCTTGACAGTGACATGGAGTCGGTACATCTTGTGCTGCCCTTTTTATCGGACAGAGAAAATGCTGCAGCAGCTCAAAGACCCCAACTCATAGTTAGATGCCATGTCAAAATTGTAAAGATACATTGTAGTTTTAAACTATATACTATGTATGATAATTTATATATTATAAATGAGTCAGCATGTGGTATAGGACACTCATATCCACATCAGTCTCCTGGATTAGGGAATAGCAATTTGTATCCAAACTCCCAGGGACCATATTAGTTATGGAGTACACATGGTGGCAACTCACTAATGCAAGATTCTGGATTCAAGAAAAGTAATGGCCACCCACCCGGCCTCAATGGAATTTTTCTAAGAGATAGTGAAGCATGTTCCAGAACAACCAATTACATTGAAAAATGTGTGGTGAGAGTCTAATTAAATGGCAAAAGAGGGGATTGGAAGAAATTTGATTGAAATTAACCAAATGATGTGAGAAACCGTTCTGCCTCCATTTCTAAAGATTTAGATACTGTCTATTTGTAACTATTGTACAGCCCACAGCGGCATTCATACATAATACAAACTTACAAATTCAAAATACACACCTAAGTTAATCATTAAAAAACCGAAAAAAGAAATTGTTATCGTAAGAGAGATTCATGCTGCTGAAAAACAAACTCAGTATCTTTGCATATATCGCCCATAGCAGCATTCATGCACAATACAATCTTAAAAGTTCGACATATACCAACAAAGTTAATCATTAAAAACCAAAAAAAGAAATTATTCTCAGAAGAGAGATTCATGATGCCTAAAAAGACAAACTCACTAACTGAGTTACAAGGTCTAAAAAATCGCCGATACAGATCGGAATTGGCCTTTTTGGATCGCGAATTGTTGGGATATATTGGGAACTGGCCATTTCCCCCAAGGAACCGGTGATTCCCTGTAGTGAATTATCGATTCACCCCTGTAGCGAATCGCCGATTCACTGCAATAAAACTGGCGATTCCTTTAAAGAACCGCTTGGCTCGTATGTCTTTCTTAATAATTTTTTATTTATCTTATTTAATAACTTTCTAGGGCCCACCTATCTTACATGGGGAGTCTTAGTTTTTAAGCTTTTTATTTTTATTTGGCCATCACTCCTGTCCAACTGCCATGTGGCAAAGAACAGTGTTGGGCCAGCCACTTCACAAAGGAAAAGACGTTACACCTTTTTATAATAGCATGGCTCCCCTCTCCTTCCCCACATTTGCGATGTGGGACTAATTGTAATGGCACTCTTCCAGCGCTCTCTCTCTTTCTCTCCAATTCCTATTACTATCGGATCATAATACCGTCATTGGCTCGTATATACAAGCCCATTGTAAGATATAAATTCCATTCACTTACTTCCTCAAAAAAAAAAAATTGCATTCACTTTATAGGAACCTTAAAATACTAATTATAAATTGTAACTTTTGAAATACCAAAATTTCTATATAGGTTGATTAGTCTTCAGCCAGTGACTATTTAAAGAACTTGTACCACCACATTATAACTGTTCATTGACTACATGTATCCAAGCTTATATATTACTAATATGTTAGATCGAGAAGGAAGATGTTGGCACCATTAGAATTTTTTTTTAGCTTAGCACCCGGAGATTGTGGCACTAGTTAATAATGAAACCCCTTGTACTTAAGAAAAAGATGCCTTCTGCCTATTATGCAACTTACGAAAATAAGAAAATTTTATAGAAATTAAAGTAGAACGAGTGGAGGAATGGATCAACAGTCCAACAAACTTAACTCAAGAAAATAAATTAAGCCTCAGCCAAAATGGAAGCTATGAGAGCGAAAGAGTAGTCCAATATGTTTGTGAGAGAGAGAGATGTCAAATTTGTTTTCGTGTGTGTGTGTGTGTGTGTGTGTGAGAGAGAGAGAGAGAGAGAGAGACATCCAATGCATGTGAGAGAAATATCATACACCAAAATGACAATTAGATTCACAAAATTAGTATGAAAAATTACAAAAATCGATTTTCTCCCACATTTCTGCACTAAAAACACAAAACAAGTACCAATTTTTTTGAAAAAGTAGTGTATCAAAATTAGTTTAAGAAATAGTATCAAAATTAATATCAATAGACTTAGACCAGAAACGATGTTTCAATTCTCACATATTTTTGCAAAATAATAAATATACATAATGCACTACACCCATTTTTTTTGGAAACTCCAAAAACAATATTCTTTTAGGGATTTTTACTATTTTTTGAAATCTTTTTGATGCTAAAATTGGCCGATTCTCCGATCCAGATCGCTGATCTGCCGATCTGACCCGATTGTTTGGGTGGCCTCACCAATCCGTTTTTTAAAATCTTGATATACAAACAGAAGATTAACATGAGATGCATCACAAGAGAAGAAACAACAAACTTACTGACTGAACTTCATGAGAAACATATGGGTGTTGTACACTAGCAGAAGATTAACATTAGATGCACTATGAAAAGAAAAAATGACATGAAAGAATAATAGCTCATTAGGACGCCCCACAAGACCAGTGGTAATAGATCTTTGTATTGCTTGACAAATAACATACACCAATATAAGAAACCAAGGCTCAGATTTGGAACCCAGACCCTTGGCGGTCCGAGTTAGGCGAGTCTGAGTTAACTTGCCTGAGTTGGCTACTAAGCACCCAAAGAGCCAAAAATAAAATGGGAAAAATACTGAAAAATGGGAAAAGACAAGAAAATGATGATAAACAACATTAAAAAGTATAATAAAAAAGAGGAAAGAAGTTTCAAAAAATCGAAAAAATAGAAAACTGGTTAAATATCATTTCTCAGAAATTAATTATGAATATATGATATATTATGAATATCATTTGTCTGGAAAATCTGGGTAGGCAAAGCCCTTTAGATAAGAAACAAATGAATAAAAAGCACTCGCACATTCTCACGAGTATTCCTCTGAAGAATTAGCTATCCTAGAGACTAAATCCGTGTCCCTCCCTCCGCCTGGTATGCCAAGTTTGGGGTGGGTGACCTTGCCAATGGGTAGCCACTGAAGCCCAAAGTGCCTTAAAAGGGAATTTGGGTCATACGGATCCTTCTATCCACAACCTAGTAGCTGCTACTATTGGATCTCTCTTGGTCTCTGTCTGCCTGTCTAGGGTCTCAGACCATTTTCAATGGGAGCTCTCAGTGGTCTATGGCCCCAATAGACCCCAACTGAGAGATCTTTCTTGAAGGGAACTCAGCTGAGTTGCCTCCGTGCCACCTACCTCCAGACGATAGGTGGCGATTTTAATGTAACCAAATGGTCCTTTGAGAATAACAGGAATGGCCGGATCACAGCCAGCATGTCAGCTTTCTCCAACTTTGATCTTCAGAAAAACCTGCCAGACATCCCACACAACAGTCTGCCTTTACCTGGTTCTATCATGCGACCAGGCGACATTGTTCCACATCAACATGTTTCTTACTTCCCGGGAGTGGCAGGAGCAATTCCCAGGGACCAAGTCCCACACACTCTCAAAGCCGATTTTGAACCATAATCGTATCCCCCTCGACACCCTTCCAATATCAGTGGGCCAGAGGCCATTCTTCCTTTAATGATGTGGCTCAAGGAGCCACACAAATCATGAACTCATTCTCCAATGGTGGTCTACTTTCTCCACTGAGGGTTGGAAAAGAAGCTTCAGTTGCTGGAATGGTCTACAAGGTAATGAATTACTTGGAACCTTCACAGGCATTGAGGAGGCTATCGCAAAAAGAGATTAGTGGCCTGTATCTACTAGAAGCCTAGAAGAGTCTAGAAGCTTAGAAGAGTCTAGGGACCTAATCCAGGAAGAAAGAGATAGGACAGACGCAAAAAACAGATATCATTTTACCTTTAAGTAGGAGGAGATTTTTTGGCACCGAAAATCAAGAGTGACATGGTTGAAAGCAAGTGACGCAATACCGCCGCCTTCTTCCACAAAATCGCAAACTGTACGAGCAGGTCCAACTCTGTCATCGAAGTTGGCAATCATCATATGACGAAACACAGGTGGTGAAGAGGGCCATAGTTTCTCACTCCGACGCGGCAGCTTCTATGTGTCCTAGCTAGATAGAGGAAATGTGGTTTGTAATAAGCTTCATAGAAGACTTAGAACCAAGCCGGCTGATCCTTCCCGGGAACGAGTCGAGGCTCGTTCTCATCTAACGACCACAATAGGCCTGGGATGGTTCTTTTCTTACCCTGCCCAGTGAAAAGGACTCATGGAGACCTTTCCAACACTGAGATCCATAAGACTGTGTTTGAGTTGAGGCAGTATAAAGCACCTAGGTGGGACGAATTTCCAGTAGCGCTCTTCAGTAGGTTCTAGGAGACACCAACTCCAGACGTTCTAGCCTTGTTCAATGAATTCACCACCGTGGAAGAATTCCCAGGGGTACAAACTCAACCTTTATT